CTCACACGAGCTCCTTCATATCACTCTTGGAAACACACCCAACCCTTTGTTTCCCAACTAGGTTCCGCTCGATTGCCTTGGTGTGATTTCACTCAATAGTCTCTCCAGCGTATAACCAGTCCCCCTCCACTTCCTTCTGCATATTTCTTAGGCTCATTCCTTCTGGCTATCTGATTTTCCGTATCAAGATAACACCGCTTGCTGGTTAGTTAGCTTGCTAGCCTTTCGTAAGTTCGGAAAAAGTTGGAAAGTTGGGGAGTGGGCTAGTGACCCTACCCTTGAAAACCAATTTATTCGCTATCGACACTTCAATGCATAGATAAATGTGTTAATTTCAATATTGTAAATCCATGCGTCTATTATAACTCTGATAATATTTATTGATTAGTAGCGGGACTATCTGAGAAAGTCTTGGTTTGTCAGACTGCTCTATATGTAATGAGTGATGACTGACGATGAAATATAAACCTAAGTCGTGAAAGGATTGCAACTAGCAGCCTGCGAATTACTAGTCCAGCGACCTACCAACTATTCTACAAAATTCAACTGCTAACCAGGACATCGTTTCACCTCGATCACCATGGCCAATACTTAACTGTCATTTAAAAAAATAAGTTACTGTCAGTTTATCATTACACTACCTCTCCAGCTAGTTCATACTGTATTATAAGTAGAAAGACAAACTGTTGACTTCAAGCCTGATTACAGAATGTCATCAGTTCGAGAACCACTGATAACTAAGGAGTACTGGACGGATGTTTCATCCTAGTTTATAACTCTTCTTTGGTACGAACCTATGAACACAGTAGGGGTCGAACTCAGGGCCATCATTTCACAAGGGGAGCCAAGAGATTACGTCCTGGGGGCTGAATGGTCAAAAAGCTCACCTTTTAATTTCTGATTGTAGCTTGATTCCACACAGTACTTTCGGTGGAAGTATGAAATTTTCAGCATGTGATATCGGTAGCACAAACTTCGGAGGCCGTTCATTGATATCAGGTGTGCGTCGACAGGCGATCGAACCCTGGAACATGTGCATGGTCGGCGAGTGTCCTTGCCACTGTGCCACTGACGCAGGTCCTACGTTCAATACCTGATGGTGTTACTGTGTGCATTGCTGAACAGTCCCAAGATAGGACGAAACAATTGCGCAGTATTCCTCCGACTGATTTCTGATGTGGTGATCGATATCCAGTCTGGAAATAAACAGGTAAACAATGGATTATCCTTCCTCACGCCAAAATCACTGGTCATATATATATATATATATATATATATATATATAAATTCTTGATCCAACTTGAAATCAGTCACACCCGTGGAAATCAGCATTTGAAAATTGTCAGTTGTTGGTGAGACTTGAACTGACAGACTGTTATCAATTACAAAATCTGCAGCTTGTTAGCTGACCAATCAGAATAATTTATCCTATTTAACGGACAAATGAATGTTACACAATGGCGCCAGTAATTAAGTGTTGAGTAGACGAAACGTATTGCCTAATTTGGTAATAATAATCACAGGCTGATGGATACTTAACTTTTTTTTCATTTCAGACATTAAAAATAGAATAAACTGAATTGGGGAAAAATAAGCACTTAAACTGCTGAACTCATTATTTTACTGTTGATGATTTTCAAATATGATGTAATATTTCATTTTCGATAGAGAAAGAAAGATCAGATTTGCAGTATAAACTGATATCATCATTGTATTTCACAGGTAATCATCAACTGCAAACTGTCTGAAATTACTAATGGTTATAAATAATGACATTTCATACTTCAATGTTTGAAAGATAATAGAGAAAACATTATAAGATGAACTCATCGGGAGCATAAGCAATACAATTTTTAGTTGAAGTCACTACCAATTTATATGCTTTCAAACTATGAAGAAAAGGTGGGGTACGAGAGGAGACAAAACAGAAAAATCTAATAAACAGTGTTAACTTGTACATCTACATAGCAACTCAAGAAGGTTGTTCATCAAATTGAAAACTTGCTCAATGAGCTGACTAATGTGTATGAAATAATCAGTGTAATGAAAGTAATACTGCAACAACAGAAGACAAGGGCCAGGCAACAGATCGTTTATTAAGGAAAATCAACACATATTTATAGATTTTAATGTACATTATTGTAGATTATTGTTAGTATAAAATACGGTCTTTTGATTGGTTGTTTCTCACAGAAAGTTAACCTTGCATCTCTTTGTGGCTGTGTCAGATCATCCATATGCTAACTGTATCCGTCTACGCAAAGCCTTTGTTCTCATTTTCTCACAACCTTTATTGGGGACATAAACACTGACGTCAATTACTGTCTACCAACTTTGGCTAGCAGCCAGCTCTCACCACAATACGATTACCAAGGGAGTGGGAGATTGACTACACTCTCTTTCTGTGTGCATTAGTTTGGTTTGAAACACTCGGTTGCCATTGTTTCAGCAAATCGTTGTAAATTCACTGTACTTTGCATTTTTAATATTTAAAAGGATTTGGAAATCTCGACGAAATGACCCATATCCACAAAGTGACTGGTAATTTTACTTTGCGCATATCTGCTTCCTTTTAAGCATAAGTTTCTTGGAACACACTCTGAAAACCGGATAGAAGCCCTGCCGCAGGTGCACGTAAATTTATAAATGCATTTGGAGGTGACATCAGCAGGATACTTATTCAGTTTCGATTGACTAATAGAGCATGTTTTGCTGTATAACGCCACCATCTTAGCTGCAGATTGTTTGCAGCCGATGAGAACCAGTGAAATGGAATGATGATATCATTTTATACTGGAAATCTGGTCTTTCTTTCTCGATCGAAATTTATCAAGGGAACCAAATGTATGCAATATTCGATTTTGGAATCAAAAATAAGACAATGGATAGTTTATGTATAAATAATTCATTTCACAAAGAATCCTTTGATATCCTAACAACTGTTGCCATAAGCTGATGGCCAGTGTTTCCTGGCATAGGAATCTAGGATGCATATTTCATTTTGTCCGGACTTCATCATCTGTGTATAACTGCATCCGTAGTGAGCGATAGTGTTTACACTAAGACAAGAACCCAGTAGGTATCGTTTCAAGTACTGGGGGAGGACCACGAAAGCCACCTCGTCTGCAAATAGTATCAGTTGTTAATAGATATGTGTAAAACTTTGGCACTGTGGTAGTATGTAATTTCATACTAATCTGTTTATTGGACATATCACATACTGGAAAAGTAGTATTCACTGGATGACGGAGTTTCGAACACAATCTAGCATTGTTCATAATCATATCAATTATATCTATACAACTCCAAAACTTGGGTTTTATAGTTCTCCTTATTCCTTCTAATTTGCTATAGAGGTAGTAAAATTTTCTAGATGCCCCTCTGGACAGGTGTTGAATTATTCCGATTGCACATATTTTCAGTTGAGTCGGTAAATAAAGCTTCCATTATCAGTTTCTATCTCCACCCTGTTATATTAGATTTTAGAACTGTCATCTTGTCCCATCCTATTGTATGATTTTGTGTAATTGCATGTAATGCTATGAATGAGCTATTTTCTAGATCTCCTATGAGTGGCTTTATTGCATACTTGAAAATGTTGCTTGATACTGATATGGCGTGTGATACTGATAAGATTTATCAGTAGTATATAAATTGAGACGTTCATCGCCATAAAAACATCAAGTAGCAGTGAGATACATTTGATGTCAGAGAAAGCAAATGATACAGCATTGCGGAGATATATAGGAAACGTGAATGGAACATAAAGAAACACAATATGAAGGAAGGCGAGAAGTAGCACAACACAGAAGATCTGTGCAACTGGTAATTTGAAGATAAAGTGTACATAATTTCGCTATATAGAGATACCAAATTCTAAATAAACATTCTTTACCAAGTCTCTTGTCGTCTACCGTTACACTGACATCTGCGCAATGTGTGATGGACTAAAGGATTCAATAAGTTCAATAGTTAAGTGCATATTTTTGGATTTCCATGAAATCCACCTGGTATATTTTGGCGCATTTATTGAAACGCCCTAATAACCATCGGATAAAGCAGGTGGTGCCAGTTCAAAAATCGATACATCATATAATGTTCCATTTCTTATCTTATTATTGTCAACTAATCTGGATTTTCAAGTATTGGTTTTTGTAAAAATTTAGTTTGATTCGTTGGAGGAATTCATCTGATGCCCACTAGCGACTGGTCCTATTCAGGCAGTTAACCTGGGGTTCTAGTGGGAAGCCGTGGCCAGTACGGTACAGGAGGTCGCAGATGAGGACAGTTTCTCATCGAAGAAGACATTGAGAAGTGGTCGCGCTATGTCATGAATTGGCAGAAGTTAGAATTCATGGGCTGACTGGCCACTGGATAGGGTCCTAGTGACTGAATGGTCCACGAGCTCGCTATTCTTGTAACCAGAAAGTCCTGGAATCGAATTCAGTTGGGGTGGATGCGTACTGTGAAGAGTCCCAAACTAAGCTGACGAAACAGCTGTCCAGCACTCCCAGTTTGCTTTCAATGGTTCTCTCACTGATATCAGATCATGATGAAATCCTCCAACTAATTTGGATTTTGCCATATTTTTATGCTTCGCTAATCTACATGACCTTATCTTATTACTTTAACCTATGTATTTGATCTGACAGTCATTGCAGGATGCTAGATAAACTGAATTATTTTGTTGATTGAGCTCTATAGGATCCTTTAACCAGCATAGTTTGCTTCTAAGTGGTTTTATGAGTTCGAATGCCATTTTTATGACCCCTGCTATGTTAAGAATTCTACGTAAAGCCTCAGAGCTTCCCTCTTTTCTATGGAAGTACTATTGATGCTTTAACTTCCCTCTTGCTGGCATTGGTCAGTATTAAACTATTCTCTGTTGAAGTTATTTTGTATTCCCCACTGATTATTTCTCATCGGAGTGAAATAACACAAGTTCACATATGGCTAGTAGCTAGTCATATTATAATACTTTTCTTTCTTTCTTTTTATAGGTTCTGGTTTTGGTATTCTAATGGTATGCGCTATTGTTGCAGTCAATTATTACTTTGATCGTTATCGTGGTATAGCATCTGGTATAGCAATGTCTGGCGCGGGTATTGGTACATTATCTATACCAGTATTGTATAATTGGATTATGCCTATAAAAGGTTGGCGATTAAGTCTACTGATGTATTCACTGAGTGTCAGCTTACTAACAGCATTAGCTTCACTTACTTTTAAACCATTTATTACCGGTAATGTTGACAGTGATGCTGAATTCACTGAACAGTCTGTAATTATTGAAGAAATGAAAATCAATAATAATCCAGATGAAATATGTGTTATAAAGAATATACCAGAAATTCAGTGTTTTGATGAAAAAACATCACAATCAGATGAAATGATAAATCCGAACAGAACTGGTGATGTAAGTTCCTTTCACTTTTTAACATGTTGACAACTATTTAAATTAATAATGAATAATAGAGATATAAATTTGAATTTGCTTTGTTTTAGATTATTGTCTTGATAGCGGGCTGTAAGGAGAAATAAGACTCACCATTCATTCATTCATGAGTCATTAACCGAGTGAATAGTAGAATTTTTGATAAGACACTAGTTAGTAACTAGTGTAATGTGTCCAGTCCTCTTTTGTTTGGTGCAAACTGAATCCTATCAGTCAAGTGTGCAGTGTGTGCACCATTCTAGGTAGCTCGCCATAATGGTACACTCAGAATTGTTGTTATCAGATGGTTAGAAGCAATCCGCAGGAAGCCACGCCTGACCTAGATTTCGCGCTAGTTGGCACTCACCAGTCAACAAGGCGTATCTGCGATCTTGAAGGAACTCATGTCCCTTCTGAGATTCGAACCCGCGTCACCCAGTGGGCACTGCAGTCAGAGACGTTACCACTGGTCCTCCAATCTTCTAATACCAACAATTCACAGTGCACTGTGATGGTGAGCCACCTCGCATGGTGGACACATTGCACACTTAACCAATGGAATTCAATCTGCACCAAAGATAGGACAAGACACATTACACTAGTTACTGACTAGTTTTCAATAAAAAGTATCCGATACAGTCCTACAGGAGGTCAGTCGCGAGCCTGAATAACTCAGTGATAACGTCTCTGACTGCAGCACTGGGTGACGCGGGTTCGAATGTCAGAATGGACATCAGTTCCTTCAAGGTTGCAGATACGCCTTGCTGATGAGTGCCAACTAGCACGAAACCTAGGTCGACGGGCTTCCTGCCGATTGCCTCCAACCATCTAATACCAAGAATAGTGGAATTTTCAGCCAACACTTACCTGGTCATCTACGTTAGTAATGAAACATTCGCAACCAAATGTTAACATCTGGAGAACATTAAAAAATTATTAAAGAACAATTATTTACCATCAGTTTCATAGGTATGGTGTAATAACATCCTAGCGTAAAAGTGAAGTGATAATTAAGTGTGGCTTTGAGTGATCTGTTCAACAAAGAACTGGGTTCGAACCCAGGACCTTCTGGTTATGAGGCGAGTTAGCTCGTAGACCATTCAGCCACTGAGACCCAATCCAACGGCCAACCCATGAATTCTAACTTCTGCCAATTCATGACATAGCGTGACCACTTCGTATTGTATTCTTCGATGATTTACTGCCTCACCTTCAACCTGCTGCACCCTACTGATCTGGTGCTCACTAGCGATTGGCCCTATTCAGGCAGTTAACCTGGGGTTCTAGTGAGAAGCCGTGACCAGTAGGGTGCAGCAGATTGAAGTTGAGGCAGTAACTCATAGAAGAAGACATTGAGAAGTGGTCGTGCTATGTCATGAATTGGCTGTTATAACTGTAGCAGAATTAAATGAGAACGTTATCGCCTTGTTCTGTCTGCGCCTGACTAATATGCCTATCTGCTTCTGGTACCTTCCGATTCAGCGAACCACGCAAATATCAAAAGACAAAAGCTGGTCTGTGACTGTGTGTTGTAGTACAACAACTACGACAAACTACGACTACGACGAATAAACTTATTTAGGAAATGGTATTTATACAATTTTGACAACCAATACAGACAGCTAACAGTATTTAAAATAATTGGTCGTAATAGTCAATAACATAATGCGTGGGAATGATGATATACCACTTATGCGAGCGAGATTAATAGTCGCTAAGATAATTGAACAATAACAAAGTGCCTGGGAAATGATAATATACCACTTATGCGAGATTAACAGTTGTTAAAATAATTGAACAATAACAAAGTGTGTGGGATCCTATCATTGGCAGAAGTTAGAATTCATGGACTGGCCATTGGATCGGCTCCCGGTGGCTGAATGGTCTACGAGCTTGCTCGCCTTGTAACCAGAAGGTCCAAGGTTCGAACTCTGGCTGTGGGTGCGTACTGATGAAGAGTCCCAAACTAGGACGAAGCAGCTGTCCAGTACTCCCTGCAGGTTTTCCAATGGTTCTCTAACTGATGTCAGCTCATGGTGAAATCCTCCAACCAATCAATCGAAATCCCTACAAACCAATACTTGAAAAATATATTTAATTTGCCTGTCAAGTCTAACGAAATTTGTTTAATTTTTTTCACATTTAAAATGACCTTTACCGATGATTATGTTTACCAGACAACAAGTTCACCTATATAAATCACTGTCTTTAGATAAATATTTCATTAATTTAAAGTAATACCATTAAAGTATTAGTAAGAATATCAGCACAAGGTTAATGCTGCATATCAAAATCATTTGATCAAGGTTGGAGAAAACATTTTAATGTTTAATTAAAGTTAACGTTATATAAGCCAAAAATATACATTATCCAGACTAGTGAGTTTTGTTTTTCATTCCTTGCCTTCCGCTTGAGGTTTTAAGTTTTCAATTTTCAGTAAGGGTGTTATTTTGGCGTGGGGTAAGGTTCTGCAAGCCTCATATCAGTTCTTCCCTCCTTTCCTAGTTTACTACTGGCTATTTAACCAGATGAGATTTAGGAGTTATTCGGTCTGGAATCGAAGCCGGATAACGTGTATGGTTGGCGTGCATTCTACCCATGAATCACTGACTCTTTGGTGCCCTCAGAGAGAATGGAACTCCCGAACTTTGGTTCACAATATTAGATCTTTAACTATTGAGCTAGCCTAAATTAACATACTATAATGAGTTTTCAGGGTCATGAATGTAAATAAAAAAGAACTTATTCAAACATATATGCTTATACTGCCCAACAAAGAGTGTGTGAAAGTTGAACTGCACTGCAGTTAGTCTTTCAAAAGTGACACTTAAGTTACGTAACAGTTTAATGCATTTTTCCTAGTGACTAGTTTGTGTATTTTATTCCATATATACATATATTTACCTTGAATGAGATAAAAACAAAGTAAACCCCTTTTTAAAGAGTTTGTGAACTTATTCGCCATATTAACATCATAGAATGCTTGACGATGAACCTCCAGAGATAAATCCGTCTCCGTAATTGACAATTTATGCAATCTATTTATAGAAATGGACATTTCTGTATTGAATAATATGAAGTCATTTTATTTCACAGGTTCCCATCAGTTGCAGACTACCTGAAATTACAGTGGTTATTTACATGATGATAACATACTTTAATGTTTAATTAGTAGTAGAGAAGAGATACGATAAAATTGACGCATCCAAAATGTAAGCATTACAATTTTTAGTTTGATTTTTCATCATCAATTTATACGCTTACAAAGTAGAAGGGGGGAGGGGTAGGACAGAAAACAGAAAAAAATAATTCTACTTTGTAAGCGTATAAATTGATGATGAAAAATCAAACTAAAAATTGTAATGCTTACATTTTGGATGCGTCAATTTTATCGTATCTCTTCTCTACTACTAATTAAACATTAAAGTATGTTATTATCATGTAAATAACCATTGTAATTTCAGGTAGTCTGCAGCTGATGAGAATCTGTGAAATAGAATGATATCATTTTATACTGCGAATTTGGTCTTCCTTTCTTTATCGAAATTTATCAAAGGAACCAAATGTTTGAAATCTGAAGTCAGTCACAGTGAATGACTATGGGATGGACTTCTTGGGTGTCTTATGAATAGTGATTGGCGATAGCGATATGATACGAACGGAGAGAAGTTACAACTCATGAATCATTTGATTTCGACCCTGTAGTTCAATGCTTACATGTTTGCCTTGTAGAGTGAAGGTCTAGGATTCCATTCGTGATTGTCTCATTAGTGCGTACTACTGAAGGATCTCAAACTAGGGAGAAATGTTTGTCCAGAAGTCCTAGTTTCTCATCAGTTCTCTTATGGAATTTCGTTTATGACAATACCGACGAATCAGATGATTAATATGTGAAGACATGGATGCCGCCACTTTGAATTAGTACATAATAACATTGAGTTGTATGTTTATGATGCTTCTGTATATTCAGATAATAAATAAGGAGCGTATTAGGTATCTGTTAAATGTACACTTCAAGGTGAAATTTTCCTTAGAGAATGAAAACCTTATACTATATTAACTAGTAATGATAATAATAGTTTTAAATTATTCACATTAATCAGAGCAGCTGATTCACGTTAGATCAAAATGATCTAAACATAAAACACCTATCTGTCTCAATTAGTTTACAGACTATCAGCTAAACTTCCGAAATTATTGTTGTTATTATTCCCTTGAGTACCAAGTGGAAAATAAGGCTTCAAGAGAACATCTTCATTTCATCTTGTTATCTATGGTCCTTTTTGCCTTCCTTCATAATTCTCCTTAAGCTTTCATCTCCTCTATACACGATCTCCTCTATGTCACACTGGACACCATACCCAACTCACTGTTTCTCATTTGTCTTCTACTCGAAAGTGTGTGACATCATCCAACGGTCTCATAAGTGTATAATCAATTCATCTCTATTTCTTTTTGAATATTTTTTGGGTGATAGGTTCTTTGTTGCTTGTTTATCTTTTCTGGACATTTAGAAGATGTGGCTTATCTCCAGTTTCTCCCGGTAGTTGTGACTGGTGCTTGTTCTTGTTTTTGGTTCGGTATCTTCATCACCTTTGTCTTCTCTACGTTCACTTGAAGTTCTGTCTTCGCTGCTTCTACTGCCAACTTGTTCGTTTTCGCCTATAGGTCTTCGAGTTTATGTGACATCAGTCATAAATCGTCCGAAAGGTCGAAATCTTAGTGGGTCTTCTTGTTGGCCTAATGTATTCCTTTCTCCTCGCTCCCATTTCATGGTGTGCCACATGATTCGGTCTACCATAATCAGTAATATTATCCGTGGTAATTGTAAGAGTTGTCTTACTCCTAATCTGTGTCGTATTCATTCTTAATTCATAAACTAATATAGGTCTTAACCTAAAACTAGGTAGGTTTAATGTATCACATTTTACTTGATCATATTACGGGTTCGATCACGAGTTGACATCAGTCATAGAACCTTTGGAAAACCTGAGAGTACTGGATTGCTGTTTCGCCCTAATTTCGGACTCTTCATCAGTACGCGCTCACTGAGGTTCGAAACCGGGGTCTTCTGGTTACAAGGCGAGATCGTAGACCATTCAGCCACTGAGAACCAATCATATTATTTATAAGGTTTGGGAGGTGTATATCGTCAAAATTCACCGATAATATTCTTAATTGTGACGGTCTGGATTATGCGTCAGACAGTGCTTTGAGAGTGAGAAGACAGGAATACGCTGGACCACCAATAAGAAGACTCTAGAAGATCTGGATTTTGCAGATGATTTAAGTTTATATTTAATGTAACGCAGACACGAAGACTTGCAGGCGAAAACCAACAAACTGGCTGAAGAGGCTGGCAGCCGGTGGAAACAGGACTCCAGGTGAACATATAGAAGACAGAGGTGATGAAGATAACCAACCAACTAACAACAACAACAACAAGCAGCACCAATCACCCACCATCAACGGGAGAGAATTGATGGAGGTTACCTCACTTCCTTCACCTATCCGGCTTGGAAGCACGGATGAAGATGTCAAAGCCAGACAGACAGCCAGAAGCGGAAAGGCAAGCAAAATACTCACGCCTTCATCAACCTGAAACCAGTTTGGAAATCTTCTGCACACCCCCAGTAAGCACAAACAACAAGATTCGGATTTTATTCAACACAAATGTGAAGTCAGTCCTTTTATGTGGGTCAGAAACTTGCATTGCATGTCAGTCACGAAAAGGATTTCCAACTAGTTACAGACTATTATCAACAACTGCCCACTTTACTGGCTGGCTGCTTACTGAAGGTCAAATGGCCGGCCGACCAGCCAGAAAGAATTAGTAACAAGAAACTCTGGGAACGAACCTATCAAGAACCTGTAGTTCAACAAATATGTAGGAGAAAATGGAGATGAACTGGGCATACGTTGAGGAGACCGTTGAATGACATCGTGCTCCAGGCTCTCGAGTGGGACTCAAGTGGGGAACGACGAGTGCGTCGTCCAAGGATGACATGGAGAAGATCGTGAGAGTTGGAGGAGGTGACAGATTATGGGCAATCTTGGGACCAGCTAAAGCGGACAGCAGAATATAGAAGAAAATGAGTATGTGTTGTTGAAGTCCTATGTTCCACTCGGAACCGAAGGGAGCACTAATAATATAAATAATAATATCATCAAAACGGTTTAATTTTATGACATTCTGACCAATACATTTTTAATTGCTAAGGCAATCCTAATTATTATGAAATAAATGTCTGTTTCTTTTTTTTGTCTTAACCATTCCCCTGATAGACAGTAATTCAATCAAATGGTAAACTTGATGAGTCTACACTACAAGTTATAAAAAATCCTACAAAAGAAGAAAGCGAAGAAATAAATGAACCTAATGGTCCGGCTTCATCAGATAAAGAAAAAAGCCAATTGAATATTGATGCTTGTGATAAACTTCTACGTGATAGTAATACAAAGAAAGAGAGAAAAATTTCTATTGGATTCACTAATGCTCTACGTCAATTTTTGTTAAATCAAAAAGGTAAGTTAGTTGTATGACGTTTACTTTGCTTACTTTTGTGCACAAATGCTGAAGAGACTATCACTGTCTTTGACCTCCTGACCAACTGACTGACTGATTGGTTGAGGTGTAAACGTTTTATCGTCCTTCATAAGTGGTGTACAACACGATGAGTGGCAATGAAGTTTGACGTAGAGTGTTAGATGAGAGAAGAATATCAATCGATTAGGTTGTGAAGTTGTGCCGATTGAGATGGCTAGGACACGTGTTACATATGTCAAGCCGGTAAAGTTAAGGAATAGCGACTCAAGCAACGGGAACGCACTAGTGACCTTGAGGCGACCCATCAGCATAACCATTGTACTTCATTTAAAAATGCCGTTTATTTAATAGAAAAATACAAGTAATGAAAACAAAAGACCCTCAACCTGACCCTAACGCTAATCTTAACCCTAAATCTAACCCTAGTTCTAACCGTAATCATAACCCTAACCCTAAAGAGCTATCAATCCATTATCCAAATAGTATTTAAAAAGCAAAGAGGGATGAAACTTACACCTTGGATATGATAGAGAAGATTTGTAGCTCAGGTGGATGATTTTGATGTGGTTGTGTTCTCTGAGCTGGATAGTTAATTTGCGAAGCTTTCATCACCCTTCAGTGATGTAGTGATATATCACTACATACAGACAACCACGGACATCAATTCGACTGAGACAACGTTCAAATATTAGACAGAGGAAACAACAAGAATGCTAGAGAAATTTTAGAAGCTTGGCATTCCAGTGAATCAGCAATCAATTGACACATCGAGATAGACAAAATTTATCAACCGATAAGAAAGAAACGTCACACACAAAGGGTCAAAGTTCAAGTCAAAGAAACAATGAGTGACAATACAAGTAGCCTAGAAGGTGTGAGAACGCAAAAAAACAACCAATCACGTCCAAGGTCAACGACCAGGAGAGATGATTAATAAACTCGTGGAGAAATCTAAAAGCTCACTTCAAATTGAAGTATGCGCTGAAGATGTCACCTAGTAGGGTGATGAAAGCTTCGCAAATTAACTATCCAGCTCAAAGAACACAACCACATCAAAAACGTACACCTTAGTTTGGGCTCGGTGTTCATAGTGACGTTTATAGTAACGGTGGTAGGCTCCATTATCCAACGAATAGTATGCGCTTAAAGTCAATGGTGCGCTTACACTCTTAGGTAGCTATTCTTTAACTTAGTCGCTAAGTCATCACCTTCCACGTCAACCAATGTCAGCTGACATATCAGTGTCTATTGCCTTGCTGGTATCCTCAGAATGTTAAGGACCAGTGACTGGAAATCGTTCTCAATGAGACAGATATATTCATTTTTTGTGATATAATGCGACGATTTTAATTTCACCATTCTTCATGTAATTATTCTTTCCCCTCTACACTTCCATTATGTGTGCTGTGTGAAGTGCGTGAGCAGCTGCACTTTTGTGCAAAGTTCTATGTTAAAAATTTATTCAATCAGATGTTACTGACTATGCTTCGTTATTTTAACTGAAATAATCTGTGCAAAGTCAAATCATATAAAAGGATATAGATCCGAACTGTGGGCTTCCATCTTGATATGCTAGTTGGGAGTGCATATCTCAATTAGTTGAGACAAATACTACTCCTATGGTTCACCTAGAGTGAACAAAAAGTCGCTTATACATAGTTAGAGGTCAAATTAAAATTGGGATTATATGAAATTTGTATCTTCTTCAAAATTTTAAGTATTTTAATACTTGACTGACAGAATTCAGTCCCCATCAAACAAAGGATTGGACACAAGACACTAGTTACAACCTGGTGTCCAACCAAAGTATCTAATACTGTTCTTCAGGAAGTCAGTCGCGAGGCCGAATAGCTCAGTGGTAACATCTCTGACTGCAGTACTGGGTGACACAGATTAGAATCTCAGAAGGGAAATGAGTTCCTTCAGAATTGCAGATTTGCCTTGCTGACGAGTGTCAACAAACGCGAAACCTAGGTGAAAAGATTTCTGCCGATTGCCTTCAACTATCTAATAACAACAGTTCTGGTTGTAACGTGACGGAAAGCCAGCTAGAATGGTGGTGCTGCAGGATTGAACTACACCGACCCCTAGATTAGAAATAGGAAATGAAGTGGTAGAGCACGTTGACCGCTTCACTTACTTGGGAACTACCATCAGCCCCAACGGGTTGATCTCCGACGAAATCTCAGCACGAATACAGAGGGCTAGTTTCTCATATGCCAGTTTACGCCGTCTCTGACGTAGACGTGATATCCGACTATCGACCAAAAGGGCGTGTGTACTGCTCAACAGTCCGCTCCGTCCTCCTTTATGGCTGTGAGACCTGGCCATTGAGAGCAGAAGACATGGAAAGATTAGCTGTCTTCGATCATAGGTGTCTGCGTTCGATCTCCCGTGTGAAGTGGTATGATAAGGTGAGCAATATTGAGGTTAGGCGTCGAGTGCTAGGTAAGGCGGAGAAATCATTCAACGAGACTGTGGAATTACATCGACTGAGATGGTTAGGACATGCGTTACGCATGCCTAGTCATCGCCTTCCTCGACAGTGGGCAATGTTAGCTGATATAGGGCCAGGCTGGAAAAGAGCTAGCAGTAGTCAAACCAAAACATGGCTTCGTCACTCAATGAAATCCACAACAGTTAGTTTAAGCCACACATGTAGGAAGATGCAGACTTCCTGTTTCGGGTCCTCGAGACGGTAAAAACCAATGGCTGGAGACAATTGGTGACATGGCTCAAATCGTTCTCAGTGGCGCAGATGCATCCACTCCTTGTGACTTATGATTTCCAATGAAACTGTTTTGTTCTTCGTTATTACTATACCTTTGTCTCATACCTGTGTTTACTGTCTATATTATGCATTTCTTCTACTTTCTTCTCTTGCTTTGTGTGCCACATGGAGGGAGTGTGGCGACTTGAACTGCCGCACATATGTGCAAAGTTCTATGTCGAATACCGACCGACACTTGTTTGATAGAATTCACTCTCCACTAAACAAATGGAGGAAGACTAGACGCATTACACTAGTTACCACCTAATATTCAATCAAAATTTCAATACTTTCTACTCATTTTTTGTCCTGTTTACATTTTCTCCGCTGCCTTTTTCGTTGATTTATCTTTTGCTTTATTTTAATTCACTTTCGGATAAACAAAAATGGTGAATTGTCAGCTGATTTCACTTGATTCAAGGATTTACGTCATAATCATCACTTTTCTGTTGTTGTGCTTTTTTTTATTATTTGATTTGTATGCAATACCACAATGATGACGTTTATACAAGCCTGATTTCATTTCGCTTTTTATTCTTTTATGTCACCTGCTTTGTTGTATGTTCTTCCAAGGGCATTAGTAAAAAACAAAACCGTTTATTGTTTTAACCAGTCAGCAGCATTTAAGCAAACACGCTTGATTTTGTCGTCATCAATGACTTTAAGCGCCTTGTCGATAATTTAACCACTGTAGACCTACTTGTTACGTTTATTATCTGCTATGATTACCCCTTCTCATGTAGTACAACAATCCATAGGTTGAAGAATAGGAGTAGAGAGACAGACTGTCTGAGAGACAAATACTGTGAGATAGAATGTCTAAAATCATCCCACAAATAGAATAGAATATAAAAATGAAATAAAGATATCAAGAAAGTAGATTCCTATTGGCTGACTGGCCTCCTGAAAGCTTTCAGCAACCCGCGGTGTCATTTCATTTCTGCGATTTTCTCATATTTTCCTTGTGCTTTGAAGTTTCTGTAGCGATTGGATTGATTTTCTGGGGTAGGGTTTCCCAACCTTCCTTCCTTCTTTTCCCGGTCTTGGAACAGGCTAGAAAACTAGCAAACAAGTAAACAGTCGTGGGGCCGGCTGAAGAGGAGTTCAGAGAAAATGACAAAATGGAAGTGTACCGTTGAAGCCGTCTGTTCCACTCAGAACCTAGGGGAATAATAAAACGATATATTATAATATTTTTTATGACTATTATTATTTTTATTCCTCTGCGTTCCGAGTGGAATGTAGGGCTTCAAGATTCGACCTCCACGCTTTAGTAGTATTAGCGTTTCTTTTTTACGGAGTGACGTTGCTTACTTCATGCACAACCTTCCTTCTTTAACGGGCTTACTACTTACTAGGCGATGTTTAATAGTGTGTCGGTCGGGGATCGAAATCTTGGTCACATACGCAGTTGGCGAAGATTCTACAGCTGAAACATCGACGCATAAGTTGGGGTTATTACTTGATAGTCGACCAACCACAGGAGAGCTGTTTCGCCCTAGTTTAGGGTGACTCAACAGTACTCACGCATCACCTCATAGAGGAGTGAATCTATTGGCACGAAATCCAATGACCAGTCCATGAATTCTAACTTCTATCAGTTCCTGACATGTAGGGCCGTCCCAAACCAATGTCATCTACGAGTACCTGTCATCACACGTGACTCGGTGGATTCCACTGGTCACGAGCTCTCACTAGAATCCCAGAAACTCTGTTTCGTGGTCAGTCAGAAATGAGCAGCAGAATGATTTTCAACCGCTGGTTTGTAGAGATTTGATTGATTTCAAGATTGATGATGAACTGACTTCAGTTATGGAACCTTTGAAACCCAGGAAGTACTGGATAGCTGTTTCGCCCTTGTTCGGGACTCTTCAATGCTACGTACCCATGATTCCACCAGGGATGGAACACAGGACCTTCAGGTTACAAGGCAATCTCGTATACCATTGAACCACTGGGACGGGATCCAGTGGCCATCAATTCTAACTTCTGTCAGTTCACGGTATGACGCCACAGCCATCTAGTGCAACGGGTGAGTACTTGTCTTCATGCCCAAGTTGCTAGACCCCACATGTGTCGGAGTCTCACTAGAATTTCAAGAATTCTTTATTGTAGTCAGTCATAATTGAACAGCCGACTAACTTTCAAATATTTGTTCGCAGGTATTCGACTGATTACAAGTTGAATCCTGAAATGAAAGCAGGTACCT